CAGAGTACAGGTGCATGCCTGCTCCTGCTATATCATAATACTAATAGTAATCATGAATCTATTTTCAAACACAAAGTATAGGTCAATAGAATATGCTTAAGAGATAGTCTCACATTCTGATCAATTAACACTACCCATTTTCTGACCTAAGAAAATTAATTCTGGTGTCTAAGATGATCATGTTTTTAAAAGCTTAGGAAAACAAAAATGGAATAGAGCTATCACTTGGTTATCAATTTACTGTCCATATGTGGAAGTCTATTTTCATTAAAACATAAAAATATATAATTCCATTAAATAGGTATTTAATAATCAAGAAAAACAATGTGAGATTTTATGGGGCACGTGGGGATCTCGGGGCACCAGCTCCTAGCTGGCACGAGTCCCCTGTGCGCACCTTGGAAGCTGCAGCGGGAGAGGCGTGGCGCGGGTCGCGCACGTCTGCCGTTTGGGTCCTGGATCTCCGCTCTGCTGGCGGGTCCCGCAGCGCGTCACTGTCTGCCGCTTGAGGTGCTGAAAGTCTCTGCTGCCAGGGCTTTGCCTGACCGGGTCCTGCCCTAATTTCACCTGTGCACTTTCCTCAAGATGCAAGATCCACCGGCCGCTGGATCACGTGGGAAAGTGCAGGGGTGCTAAAGCTAGGTGTCCGTGAGTCGATGACAGAAGGATACTGCCCCCCGGGGAGACTGGACTGCAGGCAGGAGACACAGGACTCAGTTCAGTCAGATTCAGTGGTACAGCTCTTTATTCTCCAAGTCTCAGTGATCCCCACTCCAGCTCCTAGCTATCCAGCTCCAGCTCCAGCTCGATTTATTGAGGGGAATCAGAAAACTTTATACCGTGGGGGTAGTGGTAAAAGCTTTAGCTGATAGGTACTTTGAGAGACACCCTATTTACATATGGAAGTGAACTCCTGCCAGGTTGCCAGACTGCCAGAAAAAATCACACAGGAAAGCATGGCATTTCCAGAGCCAGAGGCCATGTTTACAGTAGGGCATCTGTGGCGGTCACTTCAAAAGGTGAGTCAGGAAAAATGCTAAGAAAGACACACTGCTGTTAAAAGGAGTCTCTGCATTTAAGACCGAGCCCATAGGCCATCCGGACATGGAGAAACTACTACTTTACACAGCAGGGGTCCCCAACAAGATTTTAAAAAGAAGGATTCATGATTTAGTTTAGTTCCTAAGCTATAAGTGGATACCAAGTACTAGTATTCTAATTATTTAGGATGTATTATACCTTGCTGGGTTAACAAATTTATCCCCAAATCACAAGAACTCACAATAGTAAAGTGTTTTATCTTCCTTTTGGTTTTGTTCATGCATATGAACCCTAAATTAGAGACTTTACCCTTGGTTACCTCCCTCTGTCAAAGCCATCATATTGGAGTTCTTCCTTCAAAATGCATGAACACTGGCTGCTTTTTCAGAGGAGCTGGTATAATTCTCAGCACCCACATAGTAGCTAACAGCCATATGGAACCACTCCAGTTCCAGAGAATATGACACCTGCTTCTAACCTCTGTAGGCATCACACAACTTGAGTGCACTTGCATACATATGGGCAATACAGTCATACACATAAAATAAAATAATGAATAAAATATTTTTAAATGTACACACATAAGGGAAAAAACAGAAAGAGCTCTCAACTTCCAAACCTGAAGTGACAAACATTTCAGGCCTGCTCACACATCCAGTGATGAGGTTAAAATTCTGTCAAGAAGCTAGAGATATACCATTTCCTTGTCCACCCAGTAAGAGAAGTCCATCAGAGTAGGCAGATTAAATGTACTGGAAAATCAGATACAGAAAAGAGTAGTATCCTAGTTGTGGAGAGTTTTTTCCAGTGGGTAAGTTTAAACCTGCTTTAAAGAATAGGCTACGTGGAAATGACAAAACCTATAGCAAGTGGAAAGGGCAGGTGGTTAGAGGGCTGCACGTAGGAAGAGGCTGTCTTTGTAGATGATATTAAAGAGACCACCCTGATGAACAGTGGGGATCGTGAAAGAAAAAGTATACAGAAGCTGTTGGGGCTGGATCATATTTTGAAAAGAGCAAAAATACTTTTCACTGGGGTCTGTGAGACCAGTTAATTCACTTTCCTGAACTCATCCTATCATCCCAGTTACCCACATGGTCACTAATCTATATTGATTATAGTTTTACATAAATCTAAATCTACATATTCCTCTATGGGCCCACCACCTCTGTCTCTTTCCAGGCCCCTAGGATGCTTACCTGCTACTGCAGACTGAAAGTCTATATCCCTGAAAATTCATATATTGAAACAATAATTCCCAGTGCGATGGTATTTCGAATTTGGATGAGCAGATTTTGGAATGTAATTAGACTATGTAAGTGGAGCCCATGTGATGGAGTTAGTATTCTCCTAAGAGGATAGAGAACTCTCCACAACTCTTCATCATGTGAGTACACAGTAAGATGGCAATGATCTATAATCCATGAAGTGGATCTTACCATGACCCAAGTAGGCTACCATCTTGACTTCCAGCTGCTGACACAGAAGCAAGTCTCTGCTGTTCTTCACCTAGCATATGGTTTTTGTTACAGCACCCTGAAATGACCAACATACAGGTCATCTTGCCACAGCCCCTTCAGTGGTACCCCTGCCTTCAGTGGCTCCCTTTCAATATAACTTGGATCAAGTGGTGTTCTAGAACATCTCTGTCCTGACTGTGTCTGTGTCTACTACACATTGCACCAATACTATACTATTTTGTGTTTTTTTTTTTAAACAGCATGTTTTCATGACTCAGGCATTTCCATTTGGGCCTCTTGCTATAGTCTTTTCTGCTGTTGTAACTGAATACCATGTGCTGATTAGCTTTTGTTAGACACAAGCTAGAGTCACCTGGTAAGTAGGAACCTCAGCTGAGGAATTTCCTCCATCAGACTGGCTTTTGGGTGTGTATATGAGGCATTTTCTTGATTGTGTGTGTGGGTATGTGAGGACCCAGCCCAATGTGGATGGTGACACCCCTGAGCAGGCTGAGCACAGGTCAGAGGAGCAAACCAGTAAGCAACGTTTCTCCATGGTCTGTGCTTTAGTTCCTGCCTCTAGGTTCCTGGCTTGAGTTCCTGCCCTGACTTCCTTGGTAATGGATTGTAATCTGCGTGTTGTAAACTGAAATAAGTTGGGTGTGGTCTGTGTTTTATCACAGCAATAAAAAAACCTCAGACACCATGAATAGAGCAAAATATAAATTTTTCAACTCACCATTCCAGAAACTTGCAAATTTAAGACTGAAGGTTTACGATGTCCTCCATGTCCTAAAACACAGCGGAAAGGCAGGCAAGCATGTGAGAAGGCAGAGGCTAGGGAACACAAGAGCCAAAGGCCAGGGAGGAACTTGCTTGACAAGGTCACTCCTTCCACAGATGAACTCATCGGCCATGAATGTGGAGTCTTCTTTAAGGTCCCACCTGGGAAATTAAGAAAGCCAAATTTCAACATAAGTTTGGGACTAGACATTAACCCATAACACCTTTCTACTCTTTCCTGCTCAGAAAAAAAAAAAAAATCCCTACTTATGCTGCAAAGCCTCTTTGTACAACAGACTCAACCCTCCCACAGTTAATGACTCCCTTCTCTGTGCTTTTAAAAAATTAGTTTCCATGAGCTTCCTTCAGTCCACATTTGTTCGTGTCCTATCCTTCTCTGCTCACATAATGTGAGCTCCAAAGAGAACAGAGACTGTGTATTCTTCACTGTGGGATTAGTATTATTATTAATGATAATATGGACTATTGTAAAACAAATGAGGCAGAATCCTTTAATATGACCATGTATTTACTGAGGCTTTATTCTGATACAGACACTGTGCTGAGAAAATGAATAAATTATCACCTTTAATGCTGATCAAAGTCCCTTAAAGGATAGTATTCGCTGCGTTTATAGATAAGTAAATTGAGTCATCATACCGCTACTGAACAGTGTAGCCACAATTAACTTGCACACAGAAAAACAGAATCTCTATACTAAAGCTGTTCTGTGATAAGAGAGCAAGCTCAGATATTAGGATCAGAGGCAATTAAGGCAGCATTAAAGGAAGACGAATGATGGGAGGGAAACAAGAGGGCATGCATAAATTAAACTCCTTGTCCTTGTGATTTAGAAATAGGCTGAGTATGCGTTTGTAGGACCGGTTATTAAGCATATGTTTTTAAATAGAAACTACATCAACTATGTGTTATATCTGTAGCTGGAGTCAAACTTCTGATATCTTCATACATATAAACATATTGTTATGATATATATGTTAAGTAAGAAAACAAAATGAATCATCTGTGGAGTCATGAAAGTGTCCCAAGGTGCCAGAAGAAAACGCCTTGAAGAACAAGCAACACACACATCCAAGCGGCTCCTTTGCTCTTTGCTGTTTTAGAACACTCAGTTATCTATTATATTAAGCGCTAAGGTTTATCTACCAATAAGTAACACATTTATTAAAGTCTGTCATACTCTGTGATTCAAATTGTAAAGGAATTTAACTTGAGATCCGTGACTGGAAAAGGGAAAGGAAAGGGAATCAGAGGGGAGGAGAGAATTAGAAAGGGAAACGGATAAAGTGAAAAGATGGAAGAGGAAAAGGGGAGGAGGAAGGTGAAAAGAAGAGAAAGAAAAGGGGAAGGGAGGGAAGTGAAGCAGGGAAACACGGAAAGGGGGAGAAAGAAACAAGAATTGGCCGCCAAGAATTATCACTTTAATCTTTTTGGTCCGCGATGTTTTAACCTACTTCGCAGCATGTAGAGTACTCAACAATAGGAATACAGGGGAAACATCGCAGATCCCGGCCCTTCTAGGCGGTTCACAGTCTCATAGCACACCCAAACACAGCCAGACAGCACCAGTATACTAAGGAAAGAAGAATGCAGCATAGGATCAAGAGAAAGGCACAGAAAACTCAGATCTACCATAGAGCCTTTGAATGCAAACAAATAAATGGTGGAAGCTAAATTCAAACTCACAGGCGGCAATTAAGACAGCAACAGGAAGTTGGAGTATTGATGCTGCAAACAGGTGAAGGGAAGCAGGATTCTTACTACTCCTCACTGCAAGCAGGTTACAGCGCCATTCACCGACTAGAAAAAGCAGGCAGTAGGATTGACATCTAGTGAGCTGGATAAATTAGTCACAGGGAAGTTATGGGAAATTAAAGAAAACAGTAGGGAGATCTGAAATGGGAATTAATGAAGACTGTGCATCCATTTTCGGTTTCCTTAATTCTGGGTGATGGCTGAGGAGGCATTCATAGATCAGTGCTAGAGGATATTCCTAGTATATGTGAAAACCTGGATTTGAGCTCCAATACCACCATCACCTTCAAAATCCAAGTGATGTGAGCTTATTGAGATCCTGCAAAAGACCCCAGGTAAGTCAATCTTGAACATGAGAACAGATACTATGAGAAAAAGAGGGGTAAAGATAGTTATTATTTTGAGACAAAGCTTAATGAAGGCAAGTATAGTGATCCCCACCATAGACTAGCTACTGTAACTCATGACCACGAGTGGCTCTACCCACTATGATTTATTCTTTATATAACAGTCCAATGCATGTATTTGAAAGGAGACATAGTCTGCTTTACTCAGTCATTCAGGAACCTTGGTGTGCCAGTTAGTTTTTGTCAACTTGACACAAATTTGAGTCATGTGGGAAGAAGGAACCTCAAGTGAGGAATAATTTCCTCCATCAAATTGGCCTCAGGTCATGTTTCAGAAGCATTTTCTTGAGTGCTGATTGATGTAGGAAAGTCCAGCCCATTCTAGACAAGGCCATTCCTGGGCAGGTAAGCCTAGGTAGTATAAGAAAGGTAACTGAGCAAGTAAGGAGAAACAAGCCAGTAAGCAGAGTGCCTCCAGGGTTTCTGCCTCAGTTCTAACTCAACATTCCTGTTTGTGCCTGACTTCCTTCAGAGAAGGACCATACCTCTCCAGGTTGCATTTGGTCATCCTGCTTTATCAAAGTAATAAAGAAGCAAACTAGAACACCTGGCCTGCTACCATCTAATGTTGCTCTGTCTAGGAGTCTATGAGTTCTATCAGGGATCCTCTACACATGGCTGAATGAAAAAAGAAAGTTCATGGAAGACTGTATTAGTCAGGGTTCTCCAAAGAAATAGAACCGGTAGGACAAATACATGTGTATAGAGATTTATCAGCTTAGCTCTCAGGATAGAGCCCGAGTAGTCCAACAATGGCTGCATGACACTGGAGAGGCTGGAAATCCATAAGTGTGCTCAGTCCACGAGGCTGGATGTCTCAGTAGTTCCAATCTGGCACTGAAGGTCTGACAAATTCCAAAAGATCAGCTAGTCTTCAGTCTACAGCAGCAAGATGAACTCACCAGGGAGAGAGAAGGCAAGCAGCAAGAAGCCAGGTGTTCTCCTTTGCCTTGGCCTTTTATATGGGCTGCCATCAGAAGGTAACACCCACATTTAGGGTGTGTCTTCCAACTTCAGATGATCCAATCAAGAAGATCTCTCTCATTTCAGTTAATCCCAGATCCATTCAAGTTGACACCCAGGATTAGCCTCCACAAATCCACCCCTTGTCAACTTGACACCCAATAGCATCTCTCTATGTCATGCTTAATTTTCAAATGAAAATAATGTTGAGGTCATAATTTTACCTAACATGATATAACTATCCCATCATACAATGACCAGTGCATTATATATCTTAGAACAGGTGATAAGGTCTTCGAGGAATGCTTAGTCCTTTAGTGTCTCAAACCCAATATAATCGTACAGGTTCACAACACTTAACCACTTAACACTTACCTCAATTACACATTCAAAAAAAAGAATAACTCAAGTATCTGCTTAACATATGTGTACACATGCACAAGCTTATTCTTGACCAAATAGGACAAGAATACTCATGTCAATTACAGTCCACGTTTCTGCAACTAGTCACATGGCCTAAGTTTGTATTTGTAACTACCTTCCTCTACTACCCATTCTGTATTTCCTCCACCATCAGCAAGCACCTCTGCAGGTCTTGGCTCTTTCCCTGGAGGAGAAACCCATACTTTCATCCCTGAAGGGTCTGGGCCATTTGTTGTCCTGTCTGGATTGGGTTGTTGCAGTTTCTCTTTGACCTTAATCACAGGACATTGTAACATCAAAAGTTGCCTTAAGGAATCTCCTGCCTTCCAGATATAATCTTCATTACCTCCATTGTGGAGATCCAGTCCAATTTCCTCCTGGTAGTCTGGGTCAATCACCCCTCCTAATACTGTTATTCCTTTCTTAGCCTGCTGACTTAAGGGCATCAGAGGCCCAAAGTGTCCAGGTGGGAAGTCTTAGCTTCCAGTTCAACGGAATGTTTGTTATCTCTCCTGGTAGAAGCACTCCCTTCTCTGGAACCAAAACATCCAAGCCAGTAGAATACAAAGTTGAGGGTACAGGAAGCAATGACCATGTTAACTTTTCAGGATCTCATTCTTAGAATGAACAGCCTAGTATACTTCAATTCATATTCCATTCTTGGATTTTGCATTTAGCTGGGTACCCTAAAGACAGGGCAGAAGAGGCTGTAGAGATGGCTCAGCAGTTAAGAGCTCTGGCTGTTCTTACAGAGGATCTGGGTTCAATTCCCAGCACCTAACAGCATCCATAGCTCCCATTCCAGAGGATCTGACACCCTCTTCTGACCTCCACAGGCATTGTGTGATACTGGTGCACTTACACACACGCAGGTAATACACTCATAAACATAAAGTTAAAATAATATAATAACACATTTTTTCAAAAAGAAAGGGCGGTAGGGTTGGTGAAACCACAGTACAGTCTTTGCTTCAAATGGTTACAGTGTATTCTTCAGCACAGATCAGGGTGAGCATGCCAACCACCTAAGGATGCCAAGGACAAGAAATAGAACCATTCTTTTCACTAAAGGATACATACTAAAGTAGGGTAGATAATTAAAAGCAAAAGCATTGCTTAGCAAACAATGATAGAAAACAGTGCTCTGGGAAAATGTACATTGCTTCTGAATCCTTTCTTCTAGGACCAGCTGAAAATATGATTTTCTGACCCAAGGACCCAAGGATCCAAGGAACTGGTCAGTAAAATCTGATGAAGGACCAAAGAGGAAAAGAAGGAAGATGATACCAACGTAACAGGTCATATCCACTGACTCCTGATCACACATTTCTAAGCTTTCTCCTTCCTCTTATTCACACTCAGAAGTCTCTGGGACCCCAGGTGTGATCAGTTCTAGAGCTCACATGCAGAATCCATAGACAGCCGTAGGTCTGGTAGTACTCTCAGGATGGACAAGGCTCTTCAAACCCTTAAAAACAACCCTCCACACCCAGCTAGGGACAACCTGGGCCACTCTAGCAAGAGCAGTTGCTATGAATAAGGCCTGAGGTTCTTTCCTCTCTTCCACTAAGAACAAAAACAAGTACCACTGATGAAAGCTCACAGTGTGCCAGGCTCCTTGCTTGCAACCATAAGCCTGCAGCAGCTCCAGGAGGTGGACAATGTTATGATTTATTATATTATTATTATTATTATGTATTGCTATTATTGGTCTTTTTGAGACAAGGTCTCCCTGTAGCCTCAGCTGGCATGGAACTCACTATGGAAACAAGGCTGGCCTTGATCTCAAAGATCTGGCTGCCTCTGCCTCCTGAATGCTGGGATTAAAGGCATAACAGATCAAGAAGGTAAGTAACTTAGCCATGATTACCCAGTTTCCAAGGGTTGAAACACAGGTCAAACTAGTGGCGTCCAGTGGACTTCTGTATGATGACTGTATTCTAGTATTGATGACTGCAATTACTCAACGCATAAGCAGGTAGTGTACAGTTAAAAAACCAAATCAAAACAAAACAAAAACCACATAAACAATTTGCCAACAATATCTTGCCACGAGCGCATGCATTTTCTAATATTGTCTGCTTTCTACTTCCCTTTGTGATTGCCAAAATTTCCACAGTGCAGACGCATTACCTTCAGTTTACCCTCAGCTCCCATCTTTTGGCTGCCTCATTATATTTCAAGGGGCTCCCTGGGTATTTATTCTCCCTCATGAGTAAGGCAATCAGCCTTTTATCCTGGCAGGGAAGAAGAAATGGAAGGAAGAATAAAGAAGTTGCTTATTAATATTTTAAACTTCAGGGAATGTATCTCCATGCAGTGACAGTATTTTATGTTAATTATCCTTGGAAGTGTTGGTCTACTAAACAAAGAGGGGCCTGTTCACTCTGCCTTCTGGAGTCCTGTGAAGTACAACAGGTGGGATAGAACAGCATAGGCTACACTTATTTATGTGCAGTATTTGATCTTGGGAATGCAGACAAGGTTTTTATGAAAGGTTATTTAGAGTCAAGTGCTGAGCAATACCCAAAGATTCCCCCCCAGACATCAGTAATGAACTTTTCAGATACCCAGACATCCAAAGTCTAGTTGATAACCAGAAGAGTCACTCATTTCTTCATCTCAGAAGCAACTTGCTCAATTCTCTTTTGACTTCCAGGCCCAAAGGAGTTATTATTTGTGGCAAATACAAAAATGATTATCAAAGTCTACCGTCAGTTTCAAAGAGGGCAACTTATTTTCTAATAACTTACATATGACCCATGGCCAATTTTCTGAAAAAAATTAAGTAAATAAAATTATATAGATAGCTATTTTAAAACCATGTTTTCAATGATACTTATTAAGTATTTACCTTAAATCACTCCACTTGGGACTTGGAAGGTAGACAGAGACCTTCAGGAAACAAACAGGAACTAGGGACTGAGTGACTTGCAAGTATTCCAGCGATCCAGCAGAGAAAAGGATTGACAGCAAGTATCCTTCTCTCAATGAACCTTGGGCCAACCAGCTACATTCTCTGAAACAGATTTTTTTAATTAATGTTGTAAAACAAAATTTTATTCAGTCAGCAAACACTGTACCTTGGTTAAAAGTTAGCTAAATTCTCCATATACTTTGCCTGGATTCCTGGCACTGATCCTACAATCTGTTTCCTTATTTGTTGCAGATCAGATATTAGTGAATACCCTGTACAGGCACCGTTATTAAATCATCTATTTATACCTCTTAGCACAGGGCAAGTGGCCACTTGATTACTTCTTCCTCTTGATTACTACTGATGGAGACCATCCTGTTGTCATGCACTAGGAAAGAGGCCCAAAAGACAGTTGTGTGGCTCACAAGTCTAAAGCGCACCTTCAGTTCAAAAGGAGATGAGGCAAGACAGGCTTAAAATGAAATGGGGGACGTGCACAGCTTGGCCCAGAGAGCAGAAACAGGTCAGCTTCTCCCTGGAGAGAAACAGAGGCTGCATAGAAACGTTGCAGAAGCCCCGCCTTAATTATTAAGTTGTATCAAAACTGAACCAAATCGCCTAAGAACTCTTTACAAGCTTAATGCAGTAAGGTTTGGAAAACTGTTGATCTAGAATTTCGTATTATGAAAGTCAAGCACCCAATGTCGCCAGCGCGCTCATTTACTGCTTGCATCCAGAAAGGCTTCTGCGAAGGACTGTTGGACACCTTCCTCCCACGAAGCCGAGCCCAGCTCCCCCAGCCATGGCAATTCTAGGGTTTTAAAACATGTTTCGTGTTCCACTGTCTGTCAGCCTACGTTTGAGATTCAGCCCTTTAAAACTGGAGGTCAAAATCACAGGCGTACAAAGAGGGGCAGCGAAGGTTTTGACATGGGTCCCTTTTAACATCGCCGTCCTTTTAAAACAAACCAGGCGCCAGCGCTGGGTCAGCAGTTTCACTTGGCTCAAAGGACTGGCGCTGAGCGCCATCTCGCATTTTGTAAGGCGTCGGTGAGTGGTAGGAGAAGGATGAGCCAAGGACCAACTCAGGGAGCCAAGACTCCCAAGTCCCATCAACGCCCCAAGTGCTGGCCCAACCTCCACAACGTTGTTCTCTTTCCCCAGTCACTCGCAATTCCAGCGCCAGGCTGAGTGGATTTTTTTTTCTTTTCTTTTTTCCTCCTCCACCCCCAGACTCAGCTTCCCTTCTGGAATCTGTCCTCTTGGAGAACAGAACACTAACGCGGGCGGACTCTGTTCTCAGTTACAGTCAGCCTGGGAAGCAGGGATACGAGGATGCAAGAGAGCAGCTGGGTGCAGCAGCGCCACGCCCCTCGAGCACAACCCACTAGAGCTCACACCTACGCTCCAGGGGGCGGCGAGCCTCCAGGGACATGGGGGGGCGGGGACCGCACTGGAGACCCGCCCCTGATCCCACCCCCGACAGAGATTGGCAGGCCCAGGCACCTGACCCAGCCAATGGGCTCGTACTGAGGAGGGCCCTGGAACGGGCTGTTCAAGCTACTTAAGAGTCGTCCGCGCGGCTGTAGGAAGGAAAGCTGAGTGGAACCAGGTCTGCCCAGGTGGAGCAGATGCCCAAGCCAGCATAGACACCGGCGCACCGGCACCGCACCGCTGGCCTCCGGGTAGATCCGAACCGCAGTCCCACTCGCCACGCAGGAGCCGCTTGCTACCGCCGCCTCCGCAGCACCCATGGGGACCTGGAGACTTTAAAGGAGTTTGGGGTTTCGGGAGCAGGGAAATCGCCGGTATGGAGAAGCAGCTTTCTTTTCCTTGGAAATGATTTTTCTTCGTTCGACTGTGTGGATCGTGTACTGGGTAGGAGGGAGAAAGGATCTTTTGGTTGAAAATGGACCTCTACTCCCTGTGTGTATTGCACACACACACACACACACACACACACACACACACACACACACACTCCGCACCAGTATCCACCACCGGCTTCCCTTTCCCTGCCCTGTCTCTTTGTTAGGTTATTTTAGACAGAGCAGCCTCGCCCTGGCGCAGTCCGATTGGCTCTGCTGGCGAGAAGGCAAAGTGAGGGCAGAGTGCACCTGCCTGCGTGGGCAGGTGTACCCAGTTGCTTCAGTGTACGTGCATCGGCAAGTGTGCAAGGGTACCCTGGAACTGCGGGGGGGGGGTCCCAAGTGTGCCAACGTGTGGCCGCGAGGACGTGTCATTGTGGGTGTCAGTGTCTGAACTCCAAGTGTGCAAAATACTGCTGATGTCAAGTGAATGCCTGCAAATGTGTCTGTCATTGTGCGAGTCGTTGTCGGGTATGGGGTGTAACCCAATGCAAAATGGGCAGGTGGGATGGAGAGGTTGGGGACCAAAATGTGAGCATAGCTGGCTCCAGCTCTCAGGCCGTAGGTGTCCTTTTTCTCTTCCTACCCAGTCTTCCGTCTGGGTGTCTGTCTCCTACCTTGCCACAGCCCGCGTTCTCCTTGCCCACCAGGACCTCAAACGCTCTCTAGCCCGCGTGCGTTTTCTCCTGTGGAAGTTACCGGGCAGGGTCTGAGGCTCTCTGAACCTTGGCGTCTGGCTCCCCAGACTGCTGGCTGCTTCTGTGTCCACTTCCCTAACCCAGGACAGATCTGGGAAGTTGGCTGGCCCCGGGGACTTCAGTGAGGGATCCTAGGCAGGCCTCAGGTCCCACAGGAACTAAACGCCTTGTGGGAAGGGATGCCAGGGGAGGGTCACCCAGGCTCTGATAGTGTCCGTCCTTTTTCCTTCGCAGATCCCAGTTCCTGGCCCTCGCCTCGCCGCGTCATTGATGGGCAACCAACTGGACCGCATCACCCACCTCAACTACAGCGAGCTGCCCACCGGGGACCCATCGGGGATCGAGAAGGACGAGCTGCGGGTCGGGGTCGCCTATTTCTTCTCTGATGAAGAGGAGGACCTGGACGAACGCGGGCAGCCGGACAAGTTTGGCGTAAAGGGCCCCCCAGATTGCAGCCCCTGTCCTGAGAGTCCTAGCCGTCACCACCACCACCTGCTGCATCAGCTCGTCCTCAACGAGACTCAGTTCTCCGCCTTTCGGGGCCAGGAATGCATCTTTTCCAAAGTGACCGGCGGCCCTCAGGGCGCCGACCTAAGCGTCTACGCGGTCACCGCGCTACCCGCCCTCTGCGAGCCCGGCGACCTGCTGGAGCTGCTGTGGCTACAGCCGGCGCCAGAGTCGCCAGCGCCAGCCCCACACTGGGCTGTCTACGTGGGCGGCGGGCAGATCATTCACCTGCACCAAGGAGAGATCCGCCAGGACAGCCTGTACGAGGCGGGCGCGGCCAACGTGGGCCGGGTGGTGAATAGCTGGTATCGCTACCGCCCACTGGTGGCCGAGCTGGTGGTGCAGAACGCCTGCGGCCACCTGGGCCTCAAGAGCGAGGAGATCTGCTGGACCAACTCCGAGAGCTTCGCCGCCTGGTGCCGCTTTGGCAAGCGCGAGTTCAAGGCGGGAGGGGAGGTGCCGGCCGGCACACCGCCCCCACAGCATCAGTACTATCTCAAGGTGCATCTGGGGGAGAACAAAGTCCACACCGCCAGGTTCCACAGCCTGGAAGACCTTATCCGAGAGAAGCGCCGCATCGACGCCAGTGGCCGCCTGCGAGTGCTCCAGGAGCTCTCGGACTTCGTGGACGACAAGGAGTAGTGGCGGAGGGGCTGCCTGCCCCGCCGGTCCCCTGGCGTCCCGCTCCCTCCCTGCCCCCGCAGCTGGGCTTAGGCCCTCAGTTCTCCACCCCACGCCCCCCAGCGCGTCCGCGGCGGGTGGTCGGTGCCCGGTGCAACCCTGGAACCTCTCAGCAAGTGGCTGCAAGTCTCAGGAACTGACCCAAGGACTGAGCGGGCGCAGCTGCGCGCCTGGCCGAGAGCCCCAGTGTTGGTGACCTCGTTGGGGTGACCCAGCGAGTGCTTTCTCCCTGGGCAGTGAAGGGGAAACGGAATGGGCCAAGGAGCGCAGGGACATGACCTTTCCCGCCAGTCGGTGGATGCTCAATGACTTTTCATCTGATAGGGTAATTACCCTTTACTCAAAGGGGACCATCATCGCCCCAGACTTGCACACACTGACTTGTCGGAGGCGAGAATTGGTCTTTTTAGGGCACAGTTCAGCTCCTGTGTGGATGTGTCCCCAGATCTCAGAATTCCCAAGAAACCGAGCCTGTCCGTTGTGCACTTGTGAATAGTTCCACGAGAGAGCACTTTGGGACTCTGGGTTTCCCTGAGAATGTCTGGGTCTCTCACAGGTCTTTAGCCCCAGGTCTCCTGACTGCATTCCAGGCTCCGGGCTAAGCTAGATAGGTTTTGCTTCCTGTTTGCACCGAAGGAAGCAGATGCCACCCCCTACCCGCGTTTGCCTATTAGTCTCCTTGATTGTAGAAGGGAAGTCTTCCTGGTCCCGGGAGGAAAATGGCGCAGCAGTTCTATGGGTGAGGAGGGCCTGCCCCGCTCCGGAAAAGAGCTAGCTCACCTGGTGTGTGGGCACTTGAATGTGGGAGGCTTTTTGCGCTGAACCCTTGATTGCTTCCCTTCTCAGTCAGAGTTTCAAAAATAGTCCTATTTTCAAAAGGATTGGAGGAGAGGGAGGCGGGGAGGACCGGCAACATTCCAGAAACCAGCATTGTGACAACATAGCCAATGTCTTTAGTTTGGCTTTCCTAGCATAGAAGATCTTAGAAGGTGGGGAGGTGGAGATTAGGTTTTAAAAAATGAGACAGCATTTTTCCAACTATGTCAACAAAGCCTATCGTGTTGATGCTTCTATTGATCATTTTAGCAACATGCTAATGAAATTTCAAATTGAAATTTTTATTTTCATGGCTTTAATCCATGATAGTTTAAATACTGGGGGCCATTAAGAGTGGATTTAGCTAAGAGCTTAGCTAACATTGCCTTTTACTCTGTTTCTCAAGTCTTATGAGAATTCTGTTTTTGGATATTGTAATTAATTTCATTTCATTTTATTTTATTCTTCTTATTATATTTTTTTTGCCTTTACAAAGCAACCCTGTGATGGTGGAGTTGTTCATTAATGTGTGTATTGTACTGAATTTTTGTCAGTTAAAGGGTCTGCTGCTTTGGTGGAAATTGCTAGCAGGTTTCATGAGAATGAGGGTTCCTTTCATTACCATTTCATCTTTGCATTTTCCCCTCTTGATCTCCTTAAAAAGGAATCTAGAGCTCTTGGGCTTTTTGCCCTTCTTGATTTAGGCAGTCCTACAATTCATTTCTGAAAACAGGGAACACTCCCAGGATCAGGACAGAACATGTATCTTTCAAAACATGAACAGTGTATGAGGTTCCGCCCTTTGGGCAAGGATTTACAGACTTCTCTCCAAGGGGTGCAGCCCCAGCCTAACTGATTGTTACTTGATTCTATGTGCTAGACACACTTAACAGCAAGTAAGCCTCTCTCTTGAGGGAATTAATCAAATAATGGTGTTTAGCTAATTCTTTCGAACAGTTGCATACAGACAGCTATGATGTAGTTGGACAGCAAAACTATGGCCAAAGCCAGTTCTTGGCTTTTCAAAAATAATGCAATAAAAACTAGTGGAAGTTAGCTGACAGGGAAATGCCTTTTCCATGGTAAGTGATTCGTTTCTGTTTTGTGGAGATTTTTGTTGTCATTTTCTTTGTTTTATTTGTTTTGTTTTCACATTGGAGTCATTCCCTGATCTTGAATCAAAAGGTCAAATCAATGAAATACGAACTAAAGTATTTTTCTGAAGCCTATCGAGTGATTTATTTTTTAAAAATGTTTATGCTTTTCTTTTAGCACATACAACAGCAGAACTTTGGTAGCAACTAACTTACCTTTGCATGTATGGAGAAGTGAAAGTCATTTATTTCTCTAACTTAGTCCTCTGGCAAATGACAGATCACAGATCATAAACCAAGATTCTTTATTGCGTCTACACACCCCCATATTTTTTCCTGTGTCCTGCTACTGTACTTGGCTCCCTGCTGTATTAAACACCATCCTGAGCACTTGTTCCAATGAGACTCCTTCTTGGCATTCTGTCTGACACCTGTGAATGGGAGGTCAGCAAAAGAAACGCATCAGTCTCTGTCATACCGAAAAGGAAGAGTCATTTCATCTGATAGTACTTACCTGCTCTCTAAGAGGATCCTCTAACAAAGGAATAGCTAGTCAGCTTTACACTTGCTGAAACTTGATGGCAATGGAAACAAGAGCTGGGCAGATAAATAGCATTCACTAGCTTATTGGTCTATTAAGAATGATAATACAACAAATTCACAACAATGAAACAGGAAACATAGAAGGGATTTGTAGTGCTCCTATGAAATAATTGCTATCTCTTGGTACTTGTTAATGCAAACCAATCTGGGATTGTTCTAATAAGAGCACATCATGGGGACTGGAGAGGTAGCACAGCTGTCAAAGGCTCAAGCTTACAAGCAAAAAGACAAAAAGAATATGTCATGGAGAAGATATTGAGAAAATATGGCCTAATTGCTTTATTCTCAAGAAAAATTTCCATTTTTAGGATATCCTAAGGATATCACTAAATTCACAACGGTTGATGTTCCTTTGGTAGATGGCACTTGACTTTTATTATAGATGAATGTCATTTTTCTACATTGCATCAGAGTTTCAGGAATTAAGCCATGATCTCCTAGCATTCGAAGGAACAATAAATATGGCTTTAGTTTTGTTCTCCTCAAGAAAGCAGTACAGTGACTTCCATGGTGTGGGGCGGGGGCAGGGAGGTATTCCAGAACCATAGTCCATCCAACCTGCACCAGGGCACAGGATGTTTCTCTAATCTTTTTCCACTCTAAGGGGGCAATTCTGTAAAGCAAACATCTAACTGAAAAATAAGATAGATTTAAAAAGCAAACGTGTCTAAGAATACTCTTGTTTACAAAAAAGGTAGGCTGGCCATACTTTAAATAAAAAGCCCACAAATGCCATTATTCTCAAAGTGTACACCTTCTTTTAAAAATCAAAGTCTATTGAAGTTGTATATGCTGCCTTTAAAAACAAGTGTGTCAATGAGCTAAATTGGTAGGTATAAAAAGTTCTTCCATGTTTAAAAGTTTAAGTAACTACTATGATAGTATTTTATTCAAAGAATTAGAATCTGAACCTAGAAAATATAATATTCTGCCAAATATAACCAAACACAGAAGCAAATTTCAATTCCAGTAATGTTACCTGATTTTATTATATTTTTTATTCACATTTATCCCTTAAGTACCATATTTCTTTGATGAATCCTTTCGGTTGAATGACATTTTTCAGAATGTATTTTATTGATGTTTATATAATAATGAATGACCTGATTCATCAGACTACCCTCACAATCTTCAAGCATTACTTTAGTGATTGCTTCTGTTTTGCTTTGTGGTATGCTTTCAATATCCCAAGAAGTAAATGTCTTAGTTACTTAACAAATAAGACACAGTCAGATTTAAGTAAATTTAATAAATTACACAATAATAATACCATCCACTAATTTTCTTTTATCTACACATGTATTTTCAAAGCTTTCTGCCATCTCTGTTTGTTTTCCCTATTGGTGCTGGAACTTGAACCCAGGCCTTGTACAGGATGAAACTACACCCTGCGTTATGATTTCTGTTAAATAAGGACATTGGTTTGTATTTGCTTCAGAGAGATGATTTGCAACATGCACAAATGTCTACAGATAAGAAAACATGGACTCTTCCAGCCAGTCATTTTCA